ATATAATTATTATATATAATATTTATAAAAAGTTGGTATAATACTCTTATAATATGAAAAAAGATATGTAAATTTATTAGTTAAGCACTGCCAAATACCTAAAATATATGCATCACATTTTTGTTTTCTTTTTAATCAATATATTTAACATTTTATAGAATTGTAAATTTGTTAATATTGCGGGGGCCAAAAAAGAAAAGAGAGAGGCAGTGCTGTTTGTGCCACATTACAATGATACTTCGATCTATAATGCATTATTATTCTGTATAGTTAGAAAATCATTTATACAAATGTATCTTAGGATTTACGAATGCCCGATAAACATAATAGAAAGAATCATAAATTTATCCAAATATACGACATACACGTCACACAGTGATTGGCAAGCACTGATACAACTTTCATGTGAAAGACAAAGATCTTTTCTTTTTTATACTATGTAGGCAGGATTCACTCATAAATCTTTTGCTTTATATACTAATCATCTGTGAATGTTCTATGAATATTTAGTTTTATATCATAATATAGCATTTTTAAATCTCATGTTTTTGTCTTATTAAATTCTGTACTGAACACTTTTCGATTTCTGTATTTATTGTGAACCTTAGAATGCCTTATTATTTCTATTTTTCTGACTTCAGTTTGTAAATGTAAATTAAAATATATTTATTTAAAGTATATAGAAAATTTATTATAAACAAAATCTTATAATTAATAGATGATTATTTTATATCATATAAAATTATTCATAATTTATAAAAAATAATTTTGAAAAATATAGAAATATGTATAAATTTTTCTCTATTTTAGAGTAATATCAATCAAATAAATCAAATAAATTTCTAATTTTATTATCTTTAATTGCTTTTACATAAAAATCAATGGCAACAGCATAATGAAAAAACGAGATAAATGATTGAGCAAATAATACAAAGATTTTCATATATATATATAAAGATGTAGTTGATCAATATTACAAGTATAATATTACAAGTATATCAGCATTCTTGATATAGTTATATTTTATATTGCATGAAGATGTCCATGAAATAATATTACATATTAAGAGTATAAACAAAGTTAAAACACGACATTAATAAAGTATGGAATGTCCTTTAATATTATTCTAGTATACATAAATCTATGACATTTGGTTTAAATTCAATATTACTCATACATTTATACTTAATTAGATCTCTTCAGTTTATATCGAAATAAGTTCTTTTATTGTAAGCGGAAGTATTTATGGGAGGTAATGAAATTGATAATATTCGTAATTATTAGAAATACGCTATGTAGATAAATTTTAGTGACAAAGCAATCTATATGATAGATAAGCTGTTTTAAATGCATAAATAAGATATTATATAACTTGTTAAATAATTAGTACTGATTTTTAAAAATTAGCGTTACTTGTTGCATAATAAAGACAACTGTTTCACAATACAAGTGCTATTAATCATCTTAATGTAGGTTCGATATTATTATAAAAAAATAAATATGTAATCTTAATATACAATTAAAAATCATACTTATTGTATTATTGCTATTTGCGCATGTTTAGAAAAGTGCAATCTTTTATTACATATACAATTAAGTTTTCTATATTTTTTATCTCATTAATTTTACTTTATAACAAATATTTGTTACTTGTTTAGAATATTTACAGAAAGTATTAAAATAATTTTCTTTAAGAACTGTTTAGGTGCAGAAGTTCTATACACTGACTGTACTACGTATTTTATTTTCATATATTTATTTTCATATTATATATGCAATATTTCTTATCACAAAAGACTACATATATCTTTATTTTCTAAATCGTATATTCGCTCTTAAAGTGAGTTTTTGTCAAAATATAGTTCTCTTCTCGCTACACATGAGATTTGTTCTTTTTAACTGGACTGATTGCACTAGTTCAGAATGTATCTTTCTTCTTTCCAGTATAAATAGAGAAAAATAAACTGTAAATTAATACAACCAGTTTAGTCAAAAAGAACAAATCTTTGATTTGAGTCCGCACCTGCAGTCAGCGATCCGCGCAAGCTCGTAACTATTCACAGCTGTTCACACGCAGGTGCATGTAGTAACACAGACAAAAATACATACCTTCAAATATCTCACGTAGTTTCATCACGCTTTTCTTTTTTCTCTCCTTGTTTCCTTGTTTAATAGAAAAAAATTAATCGCATATACAACATTTCAGTTTACAAATTTCTTAATGTCCCTTTTGACAAAATGTGATGTCAGCTGCATTACACTTTCAAAATTTCAAAAGTATAACCTATGTTGACAGATTTCATTATACATTATCTTTATGCTAAATATTATGTGATATCCGTGCTGACACGTAAGATATTTAAAACCAGATTAGTTGCACAAACAACGTGAGTGATGATTTATCCTTCACGCTGCCAGCGTGACGAAGCACGTGAAGAACAGAGGAGCGCCTCGCACGTTCTTTCCTCTGGAGATTTAATAGATGAAAATCCCACGTTTCTTTCGTAACGTTTTAATCGGCATCCCGATCGGGATTGCTTTTTGCGACACAATCGGATATGTTGCGAGGGTGGATGGTATCTCTATGCAGCCCGCGCTGAATCCAGATCTGCGGTATCCCGATTACGTATTCCTAAATCGCTGGGCCATTCGAAATCATAAGATACAGCGTGGCGACATAGTGTGCGTCGTGTCTCCGAAGGTGCCAAATCAAACCCTGATCAAGAGAGTCATCGGACTTGCCGGGGATATTATAGGCACGCATGGATACAAAATCAGTGCTCTTCAAGTATGGATTTCATGTATAGAAGTAATTAGTAATTTGGATGTGTAATATGCTTGTGTAGGCTGTAAACAAACTAATATCGCGGCTTAGTATTATTCCTTCACATCTATATATGTCTTTATTCATACATAATTCTGATCTTTTTGGAATATAGATACCAGAAGGTCATTGCTGGTTGGAAGGAGATCACATTGGGCATTCTATGGATTCTAATACCTTTGGGCCAATATCTCTGGGTCTGGTAACAGCGAAAGCTACTCATATAGTTTGGCCACCGAGTCGGTGGCAACAGTTACATCCTATAACCAAACCCAATCATGAGGGCTGTTAGCTTTGTAAAGAGATTACAATGGGAACTACCTGGTACTGTATGCAGGTAAGCTCAATTGTTATTATTTTAACTTACTAATTGGTTTATAATAAAAATTATTATGTACAGGCATGGCTTAACCATAGGAGATGTCGATAACGATGGTGATAATGAATTAGTTGTTGGCACTGCCGAAGGAGAACTTTATATTTTTAAAGTAAATATAAACTACAAATTTATAATTAGAATTGCCTTTCAAAACTAGAGATAATATTTGGTCTTATGTAATAGGGATCAGAGTTGTGGCAGAAAATCACTGGCCTTGGGCTTATAACTAGTGTAGCAATTGGAGATATTTTTAATTATGGTCGCAATGCACTTGTTGTCATTTGTGGTGATGGTTGGACGCATATATTTTACAGTCCTAGATCTGTTAATCCTAATAACACAAGCATACCTGTAGGCCAACATGTTGGTAATACGAATGAACAAGATTTCAAGACAACTACTGGTATTTGTGTTTTAAAAGATTTTGATATAATTTTAACAAAAATTTAGATAACTTATAAGATATTTTTGCAGATATAGGAAATTCTCAAAATATAGAACACATTGACAATACTAATGAAATTAGTGAACTCTCTGGAAAAATGGAATGTGTACATATACAAAGAATTCCAACTAATACAAAGACAGTGCTGATAGCTGATGTCGATAAAGATGGTGCTAATGAGATGATTCTTGGTCTGACGGATCGTGTTGTAAGATCTTACAGATGGTCGAGTAATGCTGATGTGGGGACAGGAAAATTAGTTGGCCTAAATAAATGGGAATGTACTAATCAAATAGGAACAGTTACACTGCAAGTATGTCAAGTTGAAATATGAAATTCATTATATATCGCTGCGTCAAGCATTTTTATCATTCGTTGCATACGAAAAAAACTCAAGTACAAAATAACTTGAGCTTTATTGAGTAAAGTTATTTATAATTATATAAAAAAAATCTCACTATGGACCCTGTATTCTTATCGTCAAAATTTGGAAATTATAGTTATGCTTCGGTCGGATATTAGAATGGGAGAGATGCAACAGTATGATATATTAATACAATCATTATTATACAATTATATTTCGCGCCTCCTTCTCTAGATTACAACATATACATACTTCCTTCGTGTCGCCAAATGTCACATCGGTTTAAGAAATTTCAAAATGAAACGGGCCCGCATGGCCCCTACGACCTGCCATCTTATCCTCAATTTCTTTCGATGTGTGCTGGAAGTCAGATCGGAAAGTTGGTGAATAAAAAGATTATAATCATGGTCAAAAGAAAGAGAGAAAGGGTAAAAATTTTGGAAATGAAGAAAAGACTTAAAGAAATGACAGAACAGATTAAGTTCTTAGAAGACGAAGAAAGAGAAATAAACTTGTCTGATAATTCAAGAGAGAGTGAGCAAGAAGAGGACATGTTAGGAGGTAACGAATGCTTCTTTTAGGCGCAAAATAAAGATATCTTTATATAAAAAATTTTTACATTAAAAAACAAAAGGAAGTCAGGTTAAGTTTTCCAAATAGCATAGTGGCAAGACAAAGACCAGGCATAAGGAAGTGCTTGCACGAGCGGCAAGACAAACAATAGCATTGATAAATTTTTTCTCTCGAAGCGTTTGCACAGGTGGCAAGACAAAGAATAGTATTGATAAATTTTAGAAGTATGAATTTTAGAAGCTTGTACGAGCGACAAGACAACAAGGATTATAATCTGCTTCATGTATGAAAAAATGTGGAAGTTTCCAATACTTGTACGAGTGGCAAGACAGTGAAACCTTAGATGGCTGTTTGATGCGGCTAAATTACTATCTGAACTGCATTATAATCAGACAAGATGTAGAAAGTCAGTTCGTCATCGTACCAAAACTATCGCGAGAAGTTAAAAATGTCCTACAAAAGACAACGCCTGACAGTTTATTATTTGATGAAGGTCTAGGAGAAAAAATAAAGGAGGTTAAAACATTTGAAAAAATGAGCCAAAAAAATGAAGTTAAAAATTCAGCACAGAATCTCCTAAATCAACCATACACGTCAAAGTAGCCTTTAAACTTAAAAAGCCCATATAGAAGGCCATATCCCAGAAATATGGGCAGTTCATATGTATCAAAACAGGTCAGAACAAGATTCTTCAGAGGAAGGAAACCAACAAACAATCTGAGGACAGATTTTGCACCAAGAAACCAAGGAAGTCTTCAGACTGAGAGGATAAAACAAGTACAAGTAAAAGTTAGTATAGCTGGTAGATTAAAAAACTTTATTGGCAGGTGGCGACAGATTATAAATAATAAAGGCATTCGGGATCTTCTAATTAATGGATATAAGATTAAATTTAGTAAAAGAGTTTCATCAGGAGAAAGCACCTAAAGTTAGAATTGATTCAACTAAAGTATTAAACGATATCAGAAAAGTTATTAAAATTTTGTTAGAAAAAGGAGCTATTAAAAAATGCAAAAACACAAAAAAAACAATTCTTATCGTCTTATTTTCTAGTGCAGAAACCAAATGGTACATATAGATTCATTCTAAATTTAAAAAGATTAGATGGATTTATTCGTACTACTCATTTAAAATTGGAAGATATAAAAACGACAACAAGATTAATATTTCCTAGAGATTTTATGGCGAAGATAAACTTAGAGAACGCATATTTCTCAATTCCGATTCATAAGAGGAGTAGAAAATACTTAAGATTCAAATTTTCTGGTACAATTTATCAGTTTACTTGTTTACCGTTTGGTTTATGCAGTAGTTCTAGAGTGTTTACCAAAGTTTTAAAACCAGTTATTAACCATTTAAGAATTAGAGGATGGAAATCTGTGATTTATTTGAACAACATCTTATGCATAGCCGATAGTTTTGAAAAGTGTAGACAAAATATTTCAGAGACACATAAATTTAATGGTAGAAAGATTATCGGACAGGCATTTATAGATAAAATCGTACTAAGGCAAACCATAAAGAGTTTACTTGCATTACTATCTGAGGCAACACTTAAGCAATATCAATCGGTCTTGAAGTTATGTTGGATATTTTGTAGAGGCTCAAGAGAAGAATTCTTTAATCCATCGGTGAATAAAATACTACGGTTTTTAACGGAAAGATTCAGACTGAAAACGTCATATAGTACTATCAATACATTCAGAAGTGCGATTTCTTTAATTTCAAAAAATAAAATAGGAGAAAATAAGATAATAAGCAAGTTTCTTAAAAGGGGTTTTTAATTTGAAACCGATGAGATCAAAATATATCTTCACATGGGATGTTTCTATCGTATTGAAATACCTGGAAAAATTGTATTTGTCCATTATAAACCTTCTCCTTAACTCAGTTGACAGAGAAAATAGTCACCTTATTAGCCTTATGTACAGCTCATACAAATTTTAACAAGTATAAGGATATCAAATATTTTTGAAACAAGCAATAACGTACAGATTGCATATTGATAATAGAATTAAGACTTCAGGACCAGGAAAATTTTAGCCATTATTAATTTTGCCTAAATTTAAAAAGAAATTTATGCCGAGTTTATGTGTAGCAACAGTGCTCATTAGATATTTACATGTAACAGAAAATTTAAGAGGAGAAGAAAGCAACTTATTTATAGCTACAAAGAAGCCATATAGGCGTGTTGGATCACAGAGATTAGATGGATCAAAAAATCATTACAAAAAAATAAAATAGACACAAAGATTTTCAAAGTATTCGGTATGGCATGCATCTACATCAGCAGCATTTAAGAAGGGTATAGATCTTGGAACTATCAGAAGAACAGTGAGTGAAGCATCACAAACCTTTGCAAAATTTTATAATAGATTATAATAGATTATAATAGATAATAGTTAAAAAACCAGACACATTTGCGAATGCTGTTTTAAGTTATGAAAAGTAAATTAGCATATATAGGGTTTATTTTCTTTGATTTAAAAAATTTTTGGTCTAAAATCCAGAGTAATATAGACATTAAATAATATCAAATGTTAAATTTTCTTTTGTTTACTGGTTACAAATTCTGAATAAAGATATACCTATGAGGATAAAAATTAAAATACTATAAAATATTAAAATAAAATTGCTGCTCTTCTAAATAACTACATGTTGTAATCTAAAGAAGGAGGCGCGAAATATAATTGAAAAGTGGAGCGAACTTACCTATAAGTGAAGTTCGACTACAATTATATGAAGGATCTCCTTCGAAGAGATTACAATCTTTTTCAAAAATAAACTCTTAAAAAACCTTAGTCAGATTTTCTCCCTCCCTATGTGAACAAGTTTACAGCAATTTTAATTACTCTCTAAAAATTGAGGATAAGATGGCAGGTCGTGATGGGGACCAGGCGGGCCTGTTTCATTTTGAAATTTTTCTAAACCGATGTGACATCTGACGACACGAAGGAAGTATTACATGTTGTAATCTCTTCGAAGAGGCCCTTCATATAATTGCAATTGAACTTCACTTACAAGTAAGTTTGCTCGACTTTTCAATTAGACATTAAACGATACAACAATTTTAGCATACTGGTGATGGTACGCCGACTCTACTTGTTGCACAACCTGGTGGTACGTTCATGCGAATCAAGTGCAACCGTGAAGATAGTCAATCAAAGAATAGTTCCTGTGAGGCTGTAGATTATCAAACATTAGGGATATCTAGGATGCGCAATCAAAATATTTCAACAGAGATTATTGGAGATTTAGAGCCAGGAATAACGCCGTTTATTTCGACGCTTGAGCCTAAATTGTCTAATTACGTGCCTAAAGATAAATTGCCGAAACAAAGTTTCACGGATGATAGCCAACTGGACTTGAAAACCTTCAAACCTACATCACTCGAGTTCAAAAGAAATTACTCGCAACCGCTGATTCGGAAAAATAGTCTGGATATGGCCGGCGAATTTCAGAGAGATTTTACAGTGGGAAATCAAGGACCAGTTAGATTTTATAGTCCCATCGAATCTTCAAGCACTGATGAGATGGACGGCAACTTTATCGGTGGCAAGGTTATTCTTGGAAAATTCGAAAATATGAAAACTATGAAAGATACCTTGTTATCATCTTTTTCACATTTTTCCCACAATAATAATAAAATCGATAGTAGTAATCAGAATAATAATAATAACAGCAACAATGTGAATCAAGATGTAAAAAATGATACAGATTCAGACGATGTAGTTGATCATGAAAACGCTCCGAAAGGTAAACCTTATGCCTTAGCAACGCTTGATGGAACTATCATGTTAGTACAGGATGAAGTCATTTTATGGTAAGTAATCATGAGTAGCGATATTTAAATTTGTATATTTACAAATATACCGCAATGTTCTTTTATAGGGCTATGCAAGTAGATCATCAGATATTCGCTCTTTGTCGATTGGACGTCACAGGCGATGGTTCCGACGAGATAATCGCTTGTGCGTGGGACGGTCAGACTTATATCTTGGATCAACAACGGCACAGCGTACGCTTTCAATTTGAGGAACCGGTCAGAGCTTTTTGCACAGGAAATTACAATGTAATCCCGGGAACGTCCAGTCCTAGTCTAGTGTACAATACCTTCAACAACAAGGTTTTTATTTATATACAAATGAATAACATAGTTCATGATTATGAAAATACTAATTATATTTTTTCTATCTTCTAGATTTTTCTTTACTACGATGTTACTTTACCGAGCATGATAATCACTCCTCTGAATCCCATGAAGGACTTTGAATCTGATGAAATGCAAGCCTTAGAGAAAATATTGGGCAAGTGTAATACAAATGAGAAACAACAAAAAATGCAACAATTAACTGAATGGTTACTGTATGGTGTACAATAATCATGTGGCAGATGTTATAATTAAATACATATAACAGTATAATTATTAAAATATGTATATTTTAAGAATTATCCTATTCTGGCAGAGATGTATAATAAAATATGCGTATTCTGGTACATTAAATCACTATTCTTGTTCTTAAATTTCTCTGTTAGCATAAAGATGGAGCAATAAAAAACCACGTGCATCTAACGTGCATGTGTAAGCACCTGACAACGACTTAAAGTGATATTATTTTCAATAAAAATATTTGATCATAAAACGATAACATATTTCTATTTTGATATCTCTCATATTCGACAGGAATTGCTTATGAGATCGTTCTAAGGAATACGTCACTGTGTTATCGCGAAGGATATACGACCGAGAGTCCGTGCAAATTTTTGGCAAACAAGCAACCAACGATATCGGCAATGAAATTAATTTTGGCATGGAGTGCAATGTAAAGACGCCTATTTAAGGATTCTCATCTATTTGCGAATCACACCGTTTTATCTATATACCGTAAATCAGACTGACATCACGCTAAATGTTGGCCTAACATATAGGATCGCATTGCACGTCATCATTGTCAGTGGGTATGCAGATTTCGTTCGGTACTTTTCCAAATTCCAGCGAGGCTGTTCTATTATTAGATATATACATGATTAGATCGCCGACGTATAAACGACAATTTTCCGAAATTCAGTTGCCTTATCTCCGGTGCAGTGTATTAGATACCCATCTCCACATACGAATGCGGAACTTAAGTCGTGCAATAAGAAGAACGTAACCGAAACATGTATGTATAATTGACATTCGCAACAAATTTGAACATGTATAATATTTGAAGGATAGGATGAGTCTAAGTTTACTTCTATTTGAATACAAAATAATTTATTTGAGCAATTAAAAGGCAAATTTTTTAATTTTTTTAAAGAGAAGTAATTAAAAATAAAGCAATTAAAAGAAACCAATCCGAATCCAGCGTAGTAAAGAATGTAATATTAAAAAAAAAAATCAATGGTTATTTAATCATAAATGCAGTTTAATTTATGTGTGATTCATTGCATACTATTTAGCATGCAGCAGGATTTTGATCAATTTCTTTTGAATTGATTTCATTTTAAATTTCAAATGTTTTTATTACTTTTTATTAGTATAAAATATAACATGACGTGGAATACATTATTGCAAATATTTTTTTTCTTATTAATTCATTTTAATCAGCATTTATGTATATATTAGACCAATAATCTCTACTTTCTAACAAATTCTCTATAGAATGTAAAATGCGAGATAATCTAGCGATTACATCTTGTGTGCGTACTCTAAAACGCGTCGCGGATATTTGAATTCCTGAAAATCCATTAACGGAGATCCTTTGAGCTAGTGAATTCAGAATGACCGTCAATGGCACGGAACCATTTTTCGCGGGCCACGAGCTAAAGGAACTCACTTTCGGATGGACCGATTATACCCTATTCGGCGGTTTGCTGGGCGTCAGCGTCCTCATCGGTATCTACTTTGGTTTCTTCAGCACAAAGCAAGACAATACTACGGAATACCTACTCGGTGGCAAAACCATGTCCTTTTTTCCAATAGCAATGAGCCTAATAGCAAGGTGATTTAATATGATTCGTCCATTCCTATCATATTATTTTCGATAATACTTCATTAAGGATAAAATAAGTAGGAAAAAAAAATGTAATCGAAAAGACAATCTCTGATTGGTTAAATTGTTTATTTAATAATATGTCAAAAGAAAAGAATTATTTCTAATGAGGATAAAATTGATTTCAGTCACATATCGGGAGTATCTTTGCTCGGCGTGCCTTCCGAAGTGTATCAATACGGGACTCAATACGCGGCGTGCATTTTCACATCTTTCATCAGTTGCACCATAATCATATGCGTATACCTGCCGGTGTTTTATAAACTGCAACTGACAAGCACCTTTGAATATCTGGAAATTAGATTCGCCAGGCCGGTTCGGCAATTAGCATCCTTTCTCTACACTCTTGCGCTTGTAATCTACGTGCCATTAATAATTTATGTGCCGGCGTTAGCCTTCTCGCAAGCGACTGGGATGAATCTGCATTACGTCGCGCCGGTGATATGCATGGTTTGCATTTTCTACACGACTATCGTAAGTGATATACGTTATGCATTTTCAAATAATTGCACAAGTTTACAAAGAAAAGTTTTTTTCTTCTAACTCTGGAACGGGGGACTCCGGACTAAATGTTTCATGTAGATTTTATTTTCTAAAAGTAAGAAGCATTGGGAATCAAATTTTCGGAATACTCGTTCATAGTTCTTATTTGGACGTAATTGAAGTTATGTACTCTTTTGTATGCAATAAAATATGCATTAAATATTTTTTATATATAGTTTATAGAATTTTTTATGCTTTTCATAAACTTTATAATTCTTTATCTTTATCCTTGAGTTTTTGGAGATGATATATAAATTTAGTGATAAAATTTGTCTTTAGCAAATTTAAAAATCAATATTTAGTCTTGTTTCATGCTCAGAACAAAAATTTTTTTATAGATTTATTTTATAATTTAAGTGCTTGATTTTCATAATGAATATCAAACGAAGGATTGTACAGAAATTACAAAATTTGCAATATACCTTAAATTCTTTAAGAAAAAGAGTAGTTCAATATTTTTGCAAGTTTGCATTTCTTTTCTTATGACAGATTCGTATAGACATTATATTCCTCAAGGTTCGCCGTTTGAATGAGATATATTAGACATCGTCATTAGACATTGTTTATTAATATTTGCATATTGAAACAAAGATTTCTCTGAGGTCGTAAAAATTATGGGATCATGTTTGAAGACTACGAAACTTTTGAATAACATGTGTTTCGCGCACTTCATCTTAAAGCCGTAACATTATCAGAGAATATCATAGTTATTTAATTAGATAAAACATACAACTGTGCGACAGCTACCGAATAAATGATTATTTAGAGTGGAATTATCTGAGGATTTGATGAACATAATTTTATCAGTTTTGCAAGTTGCTAGATTATTTACGATGCGGTATCGCGCCCATAAAAGTAATGACTGCATTGCCGCACACCGTTCGAATAAAATACACAAAAAACGAAATGACGAAATCGGCCATTATTTGCCTTTGTCTTACGCTTGTTTGAATAATAGTACGCTAGATAGTAATATATGTATATGAAATGTGCATTGCTTACTCTCGCAGAGATAACTTCAATGTCTCTGGAGACTGACGAGAAAGAACAAACGCTCCTTGAAATTTTAACATATACAACGATAATATTGATATTTGCTGAGGATTACCTTCCCCCTTTTTTTTTTTTTTTTTTAGAATACACAAGCTTAGATAACTTGATGCATTACGTGATGTTTATACAATTTACGAACAATGTGATTACTGTGATTAAATCAACTTATTATTATTAAAATATTATTAATTATGCTGAAATGTGCTAGATCTCTTGATATACAACGAAATTCATGCTGGTAATGATTTATAAAATACACGTATCATAGCTTTCCATTGTAACATCATTACGCAATTGTATTATGATTTCTCCCCCCGGGCTTACGTTTCACTGCCTCCCCAACCGTTTGATTCTGTGCACGTCGCACCGTGACTGACACTGATACCTTTATTGTGTACGAGTAATCTCTCTTTGAAAAAAAAAAAAAAATCTTTCACAGGGAGGTCTGAAGGCTGTCGTATGGGCGGATACGGTTCAGATGATGGTGACTGTCGGAAGTCTCGTTGCCGTTTTGATACTAGGAACGATCGCCGTGGGCGGCGTCGGTGAGACTTGGAGAATAGCCGAGAAGGGTGGTAGAATTGTATTTTGGAAGTAAGAACAGGTGTATTTCTATGTTACAATTTATTAATAAAAAAGAGAAAGGGGAAAGAGAGTCAGTGAATGAGAGAGAGAGAGAGAGAGAGAGAGAGAGAGAGAGTATTGTGAGAGAGAGAGAGAGATTGTTCATTACGTTAAAATGGAGTAAATAGAAAATATAAAAGCATTGTATGAACTCATGTGTATTGCATCATTTCATCAAGACTTGCACGCTATCTAATTGAAATGCATCGATTTCAAATTAATCACACGCAATTTGATAACGCGTTTTGACAACGTGCTTTTTCGCTTTTCTAAATATTAAATTGCATTGCATTTTATTATCTTTTAAATGTCAACATTTTTAAATATTATACATCATTGTCCCGTACGAGTGTTGGATTTAATGCATATTAATTCTTTTCATAGGGTTGCTGTACGTTAGTGTAAGATTTTTGATGCAGTGATGCATTGATATATAGTAATATATAGTACGCTTATTTATCTAATATAATAAAATGTATTAAAGATTAATTGCAATTATTTGGAACTCAATTATTTAATATTTTAATGTTAACATTGAGAGATACTACCTTGTAATTACCATCGATCTAATATCATTTCTAATATCATTTTTCTAAAATCTACAGATCCTTATCTTATTATCTGTAAATTGACTAATATTCTTAATCCTTTTTCACGCAGTATGGACCCTAGTCCTTTCACTAGAAATTCATTTTGGGGTATGTCAGTGGGGATGGTAATGACGTGGCTAGCAGGTCTGGGCATTAGTCAGGTTTCTATGCAACGATTTCTGGCAGTGCCGAATATTAAGGAAGCACAAAAGTAAGTGTGAAATATTTGTGAAAATATTTGTTTTCTAAAATTATTTATAATACAAATGGCATTAATCATTAAAATATTATATAATGGTAGAACAATCGCCTGTCAATTAAAGAATTGAAAAAAATTTTGCGTATAACATAATAAATTCTTAGTAAAAGAATATGTAATTTAACTTTGTGATAGAAGTAAGACACACAAGTTAATTCCATAATAGAATTGAGTAATCAAAGATAAAAGTTAATCTCAAAGTATATAAGTAAATATACATCATTTTTAGAGGATGGAAATTCGTGAATCATAATAAATGGTGTAGTTTTTATACACGCAATAGTTTCATCTTTATAGGTCGATATGGTTCCTGGCTGTAGGCCTGGTGGTCGTAAAATTGATTTCCGTTTTCACCGGCCTTACGATGTATGCCAGATATCACAAATGCGATCCCATAACCGCACACGTAAGTCTCGGCTTTATCGTCTAATAGTTTTTTATCGCAATCTAAACTGCATACGTAAATAATACTCGCATCTTAAAACTACAGAACATAAAATTAAAAAATTTTATGTCCATGAGATATAATAGATAGAATATATTAGATTGAAGTTAAAAAATGCAAAATAGAGAACTGAGTCATCGAAGAACTATACAATTTTATTATAAGTTCAATTCGAGTTTACAAAGTATCTTAACTCAAGCATCGCGCGTATCTCCGTTACTTTTGATAACAGCAAGAAAATGTTTAAAGAAGAAATCTCTTGTTTCAAAAGGACAGACGCTTTGATTAACGACATATATTTTTCAAAATCACTCTTCCAGGGATTTTAATGTTATTGACCGACCATTTTTAATTCTTGAATAACGCAAGAGACTAAACCCGCGGTAAAATTCCTTCCAGATTTATTTAAAAGCAAACTTTCTTTAATTAGATTTATCGTATCTCTAAACTTTTTTCTCTTAAATTAAAAATCTCTTTTACGACGATACTCACGTCAGAAAAATGCAGTAAATCGTGTAATTAAAGTAAGATTAAAAAGTCGAGCAATTAAGGATTAAATGAATTGCCTCTCGCGAAAATTCCAGTGCAGGGAATTACCTTGTTTTTAGGTAGTAGCAAGAAGCGACAAGATACTGCCATATTACGTTCTGGACGTAGCCGGGAATGTTCCAGGACTTCCTGGCCTCTTTCTCGCTGGTCTGGTGAGCGCCGGTCTTTCGACGATGAGCGCCGGACTGAACACAGTTACCGGCACGATTTACGAGGATTTCATCGATCGTTGGATGCCAGAAAGCAACGACAAAGAGACTAGAGCTGCCAACATTATGAAGGTAATAAAAGCGGGAATATATTATGGAAACCGCCAGGAAGATAAAAGACACTCAGTCTTTCCTTCTTCTTCATTTTACACACTGCAATCTCGTTAAGCGAAGTTCACTAAATAATTAAGAATAGAAACAACTCGGAGATGTATTTCCTTTATAGTTAAATTCCGAAATTATAAACACATGCCGTGATGCAGGATGCGTTTCAAAATCATGGTTTATGTCACCCTTAGATTACGGTGGTACTCATAGGCATCCTGTGCGTGGGCATGGTGTTCCTCGTAGACCGTCTCGGCGACATCTTTCAGTTGTCCCTGACTGTGACCGGTATCACCGCCGGTGCTATGTTAGGTCTGTTCTCGCTGGGGATGTTGGTGCCCTGGGCGACAACTAAGGGGGCGGTGATCGGCGGGCTGGTCTCAATGGTAACGATGATCTGGATCATCGTCGGCGCGCAATGGCACATGGCCAATCATCATTTCTACTACGAATCACTTCCCTCCACGACGGAGGGTTGCCTGAATGTGCCCGGTTTATTCAATCATACGACAACCACACAGAATCCGATACAAGTTGAGTCTGTGGACGAGCCTTTCTTCATGTACAGAATATCCTTCATGTATTATACGCTCTTGGGAGCCCTAATCGTGATGGTGATCGGCACGATAGTTAGCTTCATCTGCGGTGCTCCTGATTTACGAGACATTAACCCAGATCACTTCCCACCATTCATAACTAGGTACGTATTGGAGTGCTCCATAATAAGATATAAACTTTCATTTGAAATGTTTTGCAGTTTTGCAAAAGAAACAAAGATATTTCCTCTTAATCTCTTGATAACGATATATAATTAAATATGTTATATTTGTGTCATATGTATAATGCATTCAAAAATTAACGGAAAAAAAATATAGATATATTCGTTCAAAAAATTCATCCTTTCTAAGTCTAGGCAATCCATTTCTTGATTAAAGTATACTTTGCATCATTGTATCAAATATTTTAGTTCGATTATTAAGATCAATTTATTTTGTGTACTTTTATCGCGTTTATATATTTATTTTCGGTGTTATATATTCTTATAAATATAGTTTTATCATTTTCAGGTTTATGCCACCTAAAAAATACATAGAAGTGTCATTGCATACGGTGCCGACAGCATTGATAACTAATCCAGAGAAAGAAGAAATAAAAGCTTGAAACGTGTATATTTTACGCCAACTATATCTCTATGACTTTATAAGACTTTATTAGTAAAACATATACATACACACACATACACATGCACGTACGCACACACGATACATATATTATACATATATTTAAATTTTGGAAAGTCGTTTAATTACGAGTTTTGTGATCTCTGTAATAATATTATATGTTCTATATATGTTAAATATGTTAGTATGTTAAAAGATATCATAACAAAATTTTCCAAACAAAACCTTGAAAACCTTCTTGAAGGCTAATCCAAATTTTTATTATATCAAAGTTTATGTAAAGGGATGTTTACGAAAAGATTTTCGTAAACTGTCTAAGGAAGAAAGCTTCAATCAATAAATCCTTAACATCATAAACTATTTGGGGACAGCGATCGACAGACAAGCAGACGCATTTGCTAGGAGATAACTGCATCTAACTGGCTCGTCCGGAGTTGAAAGCACCCATTAGAACGTCGATGAGGGTGTCAAATTGACTAGATTATATATCTGCTCCACGCATCTCAATACAAACAAGTCCCTGCCATCTGAAACATCTGGAGGAACGATGCCTATCGGATTAGGGGCCGAATGTAAATGCCGCGGGAGTTTTTCGTCGAGTCATTCGTCGAGTCTCTCTCTCTTTAAAATCCGCGATGGATCGATCGTCCAGAGCGTGCCGTCGCGCGCGATGGAATCATGACAAATTTCGAAGTCCTTTCTCGTTTTTCGAGACCACCGACTTGACTCACGGGTTGGACTTATCGTTTCGAATCCGAGACGACGAAAGGGAGGACCCTTATCAGCATCCGAGATGCGATCGTCGACTCGCACAGGCAAAGGAAACCCCGATCAACTATTCCGCGGGGACATTCCACGTCTCCAGAAATGACGCTTCTGTGTCTCGAAGCAGCGACCACATTCCACCGCGGAGCGTTTTATTTTATTGGACTGAAAGGTGTCAAATATAGGTGGCAGGGGCCCATCTTACTTACATACCGACGCGCGAGTTTCGGGCGATCCTCCGTCTGCCCCCTCGCCATTCCCCTTTCTATCCGGTCTGATTTCAACGTGTGGTAAAATCCCAAAGTGAGAACCCGGCTCGCATTGTAGACCGGTTGACAGATTTTTGACAGATTCTGTCTGATTTGGTGTCGAGTGACAGACCTGAGAAGCTCGATCGTGCAGCCTCCTCGTGGTTGACGTCGTCGTATTGCCCCTCTTTATACCAAGTATCTCTCGAAAGTGACGTTTGATTATGCTCCGCCCCAATATAATCCTCTATATCAATTATTATTTTTATATTTATAAATTCAGAATAGAGCGATTAAGAGAAAAAAATGGAGCTTATATCGAAAGCACAAGGTAACACGTCAAATTTAAAATTAAGTTAAAAGTTGCGCAATAAATTAATTATGAAAATTAAAAGTAATAAAAAATATTAGAAAAATAAATATAATAAAAAAAGTATTTCAATATCATTGCAATTATTTTCTGCATATAATATAATCTCCATTATTTTATTTTCGTTATTTAGAAAATATAATTTATTTTAATTTTTCTTTTTCTACTTATGCATACGCGCGCGCGCGCGCGCGCGCGTGTGTGTGTGTGTGTGTGTGTGTTTATACTTTAGTTGCCGTATTTTAGAGTCAGATATGATTTGTATATAGTTTCTAAAGAAATATTATATTATTATATGACTTTCATGATTTTTTATTTTACAATTTTTTTTAAATATTTTTATGACTTTGGAGGATCTCTCTCGTCATTAAAAAACGCTTCTGGTCGTTTCACTATCACAAATGACTATCGCATGGGTCTAGACATAGATCGAAGACAAATTTCCAGTTTTGGGACTACTATACGGTCAAGGTTGCCATATTTCTGGGAGCCGCTGTATATACGCGAAATACGATCATAAAAGACCAGGGAGCTGTCATGTGGGATACGGCTTATTTCGATGACAATGCACACGGTCAGGCGCTAGCATAAAGACGCATAATGCACCCCGCTAACGTGAAAATTATTCTGTCAAACATTCGGGCATCGGATTTATATAGAACATGCTTTCTCGGAAAGGGCACGCCAATCGCGGCCCCTCTTTGCCAGATGCCGAAAGGATTTCTCGATCAATGAGATACACGCTGATATTATTAGGCGAAATAACGCATATGACGTTTAATTCTTCACTAAATAATCTATTTAGTGTTTTTCTATAAATATAATTTTTTTAAGTCTAAAATAATAACAATTGTTACACACACATGCGCGCGCGCGCAAATGGGAATTAAAATTTAAAATTGAAAAGAAATACTTGAGACGATATTACACACAGCTCTGCTTTTTAAATTTTTAAATTCTTTTTATTTATTTTTAATTTTCTTACCTTTCAAATGGCTTCCTACACTCTTAACATATATCGCGTACTTAACATATATTTTTAGATTCGAAGTATTAATTTCTAAATGGAAATGACATTTCGAATTTATATACGTTCATAAAAAGTATTTTCCTGTTATATTAGCATGAGATATGAAATATACGAGATAAAAATAAATGGTTGCTTTTGCATCATTAGATGACTCGCATTTAAAAAAAAAGTTCTATTTATATCTTTCTTACGATATACATATATATATATATATATATATTATTTTTTTTTATTGATATTATTGGTAACGACGTTGCATAGTTGTTGCATATAACATGACTATTATGTCTTTTATGCTGAATATCATTATAAATAAACTCATTTTATAAATAAACCCTTTGTCATATAAATGTATCTCCAGTACATTTGCACTGTATCTCCTCATTACTATGAAACTCTTCACTTCTGAATTCGAGATATATCTTCATTTATGTTTCTTGTAATTACGCATTAGTTTTTATTATAACATGTACGATTTTTGGCGATACACGTTTAAAAATGTATTTCTATCTCTTATGCTCCTGTCAATATATTTCTACTTTTCTACCTTAATCAATAACCTCTGCGTCAAAAACCTAATAAACTTATTTAGTCAGAATAATTACATGAATTAATTAGTTTTCGCCATAACATAATTCAAATATTAACTGGCGCGATCATTGAATATTTCATCGTGAGTTGTGTGTAACAATACCCTCGATCGTGGGTTGGTAAAATAAAATTGAAAAGTTCGATCGACTTATCTGAAAGAATCTCAAACGTTCTTCGATCGCTATTACTGTTTTCGTTGTAAAAACTGTCGCGTGACGAAGCGTGCACAATAGCTTCGAGAAGCGAAACGGGAAACGAGACGAGAAGCTACAAAACAGCTCCCGCCAGCAGACACGCGGAATATTGTGACGTTTCTTTTCCAAGTGACATTCAATTTCCAGGCTGGTACCATCTCGTGCCCCCCAACCACACGCACTATATAT